CTGAGATCCTCCTGCCTCTGCCTCCCAAGTGCTGGGATTAAAGGCATGCGCCACCACCGCCCGGCTAGACACCCTAAGTTACTAAACTTCCAAGAAACACATATGGACTACATCCAGAGTCCTACCCGCTCCACCAGAGTCCTCCCCACTCTGCCAGAGTCTTCCGTCATTCACTAAGAAACTCAGCTTGGAGTTTGTCTCCTGGGTCCTGCCTCCCGTACTCACCCTTAGGTGATGGACAGCAACAGTTCTGCTGTTGGAAATAACAGAACTCAGACCCAGGGGTGAGCTGGTGCCTCTGGACCCCCTCCAGACCGGAGAAGGGTCATCATATCCCTAGTCATCATACTCAGTTTCTGTATTATAGACGGTGCTTCCAAAAATGGTGGGTATTGGTGAGCATTGAGAAAGCCGGCATTTAAGTGCTCTGGCTGGTCTTATCAAATCTTATTCATTCATTTGTTTGTTTATTTGTTTTGGAATCAGGGTTTTACTGTATAATCCTGGCTGACCTAGAACTGGTTATGTAGACCTAGGTTGGACTCAAACTCACAGAGACCTTCCTGCCTCTGCCTCTTGAGTGCTGGGATTAAAGGTGTGTGCCACCACCACCTGCCACGAATGAGTTTTCCAGTGTTTGTCAGGTTAAGTGTTTGGAACTGGTGTGAGCGTTATGTTCACAGGCTATTCTTATGGTCATATTCCAAGAGTCCATAGTAGCCAGGCAGAGTGTTGAATGTCTGTAATCTCAGTACTCAGGATGCCGAGGCAGGAGAACCCATCCTGGGTTACATACCGGAAGGTCTATAGCACGAGTCTGAGGTAGAAGAGTATAGGCATTAACAATCTCCTCCTTTATAAGCTATTCACTACCTGCCTCTTCTACTAATGACATATTTAACCCTGATGGAGGGCAGGCAATGGCAGGAGAGATGGAGAAAGAGTGTAGACCTCAGTGAGGTCTTCAATCCCACATAGCCCAGGAAGACCTGGCCGCCATCAGCCCCTTTTGTATTTGGGATTTCATAGCTGGCAAGGCTGCATGTAATGGTTGTGATATGCAGACCACCTAATGGTAGGGCATGGTTAGGGCATGAAGACAAGGAGAGGGTGGCAGCAGAGATGGGCACCTGTCCTGTGTGCCTCTCTGCAGGGCTGGGAGACAGGAACTTGATGGAGCTCACACTGAGACCCTGGAAACATGAGTCCCTGTGCACTAGACAGCAGGACCTGATTGTTGGAGGCCATCTGTTCCAGTTTCATTTCTGTTGTTGAGACAAACACCCTGACCAAAAGCAATATAAGAGAGAAAACTGTGTTTGGTTTATAATTCCAGGTTACAGTCTATTATTTTGGGGAAACCAAGGCAGGAACTCAAAGCATTGCAGTCTACAGCCAAGAGCAAAAGGAGAATGAGCGCATGGATCCTTGTTTGCTGCTCTCTTGCTCCCAGCTAGCTTTGTTCTCTCCTACTGTTCAAGACTGCCTGCTTAGGCAAGCAGTAGACTGTGTCTTCCTGTATCAGTCAAGACCCCTCTGCCCCAGGCATACCACATAGGCTAACCCCGTTTAGATAATGCCTCATTAAGACTCTCTTCCCAGCCTAGGTTGTGCCAAGTTGACGGTTAAAGCTAATCATGACGCTGTTCTTGTCTTTTCCCTTTCAGCGTTCCAGCTGATCCTCACCATTGTGGGCACCATCGCTGGGGCCCTCATTCTCATCCTGCTGATTGCATTTATCGTCTCAGTGAGGTACGGGTGTGTGTGTGTGTGTGTGTGTGTGTGTGTGTGTAGATGCTGCGAGATAAGCTGATTTCCAAAACATTCTCGTGGGTGAGGAAGAGCAAACAAACAAGGCGGGCCTCTCTCCCACAATAATTTTTTCTTCTTTAAATTATTTTCCTTCTTTTTAAAGGATTTGTTTGTTATTTTTATGTAAGTATGTATAAATAGTTATGTACACATTTATTTATGTATGCTTGTATAAGTGCGTGGAGTACAGGTGCTTGTGGAATCTAGAAAAGAGTATTGGATCCCCTAGAGCTGGAGTGATAGGCAGTTGTGAGGCACCCAGACTGGTGTTGGGACCCAACAGTATGTTCTTATCCATTGAACATCACTCTAGCCCTTCCTCAATTTTACCTTTTTAAGTGATTATATATATATACATACATATATATATATATATCCTTTATGTTTGAAAATTTTTTGTTCAGTTTTAGTTTTGCTTCACACTAATCAGACCCAGCAATCAGTTTTCTGTGGCGTTAATCACTCTTCACGAGGGCCAAGTGTGGTGGTGTACCCCTTTAATCCGAACACTCAGGAGACAGAGGCAGGCGGATCTCTGTGAGCTTGAGACCAGCTAGGGCTATATAGAGAGTCTCTGTCTCAAACAACAGAAAAACCACTTTCCCTTAGCGCCATTTAACTTGTTATGCATAGCTATACACGCCTGTACTCAATACTTGGAAAGTGGAGTCAGGAGGATTAAGAGTTTAGGGCCATCCTCAACTACATAGCAAGCAGGTTTGAGGCCAGCCTTGACTACATGAGATCCTACCTCACCAAAACAAAATCCAGGAACGGGTCTGGGGCTCAGTTGGTAGAGTGTTTGCATAGGCTGCATGAAGTCCTGGATTTGACCTCTCATATAGCACAAACCAGATGTGGTGGTGGCTCTGTCATCCCAGCTCAACAGGTAGACAGGAGACTACACAAGGAGTTTCAGGCCAGCCTGGGCTCTATGGGGCAGCCTCAAAACAAACATATATTTAATTACATTGATGTTGTCAAATATAACTTCCCCCCAAAGCATGCACCTGCCTAGGACTCTGCTGAATGACCAGCAGGGTCCCAAGGCAACCTCTGCAGAAACCCCGGGTTTTAAAGTGGTCAGGTCATCTCAGCTTGGTGCCTTTGGTCTCATAAGGGAAGGGAAGTGAGGTCTCTTTAACTAGTCAGCAATTTCTAGCGATGCTGCCACCCTCTTACCATCGACATGTGCCCAGTGGGCGCCACATTGTAAGGCAGCTGCTTTCTCCCCTAACATTTAGCTCAGATCTTATATTCTGGTAACACATTCTGGCCTTTTCCCACTATAACTGTAGAGGATGGACAGATACCCAGTTCTTTTTGTTTTGTTTTTGTTTTTTGAGACAAGGTTTCTCTGTATAGCCCTGGCTGTCCTAGAACTTGCTCTATAGACCAAGCCTCCAACTCACAGAGATCTGCCTGCGTCCCAAGTGCTGGGATTAAAGGTGTGCGCCACCGCTGCCTGAGATATTCGGTTCTTATTCTATTGTTGCCGTTTTCTTCCACTTTGATGTTAACCTTTCCCAGAGAAAAACTAGAATAAGCCACAGGGCCATCCCCACAATATCTAGCTTTCTCACTTCTAGGAAGAGAGGCAGAACATTCTTGGTTTTGGAGTAAGGCTATGTCCTCTTAAGGTAGTTGGCTGACTGTCCTGGCCCTTAGGAACCAAAGTTACTATCAAATTGGGTGGCCTTGTGACAGTTTTTTGTTTGTTTGTTTGCTTATCAAGACTTCTCCATCCTGCTGCAGAGCTAGGCTCTTAGCTCATCCACAGTGTCAGGGTTCTTAGAATCATGAAATCTTTCCCCCTGTGATCAGATCTTAGGGAAGAGGAGTCTTTGCTAGAGAGACTTTGAAAAGCAGGGTTCCCAGGGCAAACTGAGCTAGCTATCTGAGGCACCTGGTGAATGCCATCCCCAATGTGACTGAAGCACAGGTGGCCTAGGTCATAGATACAGCTGTCCCTACTTTCTTGATCTGGGGAGTGGGACTATGGCCCATGGACAGGAAGACAAGCAGGTGTATAATCTGGGTGAGGTAGAACAATAGCCCTGTGAGCACAAACGCTTACACTTGGCTTAGAATTCCCACACTAGAGGCCCCCCGAAGTGCCCCAACCAGTCCTATCATCCTGCCAAGCCTTCTTTCCTTTTCTCCTCATTGTACACGTGTGTGCAGTTTGTTCTATTTGTGTAAACACATATCTACTAGTGTAGGTACTATGCATGCGGGTGAACGTGTAGACCCAGGGTTGCTGTCAGGAGGCTTCCTCTGCCGTGGGCTCCTCTGCCAGCTGAGGCAGGGGGTTTCCTCTGCCGTGGGCTCCTCTGCTAGTGGAGGCAGGAGGTTTCCTCTGCTGTGGGCTCCTCCACTAGCTGAGGCAGGAAGCTTCCTCTGCATGGGGTCCTCCGCTAACTGAGGCAGGAGGTTCCCTCTGTTGTGGGCTCCTCCGCTAACTGAGGCAGGATCTCTCAGTTGCACTAGGGCTCACAGAAATGGTTACTCTGGCTAGCTAACTTATTCCAGAGATCTCTATCCTGAGTCCCCCGCTTCCAAGTGCTAGAGAGACAGGCGGGCCTCCATGCATGCCCACCTGACATCTGTATGGACTCTAGGGATTCCAACTCAGGTCCCCACACTTCTGTGCCAAGTGCTTTGAAAGCAGAGCCATCTTCTCAGGCTCCATTTTCCTCTTCTAAGACCATGGTATGCTAAGCGTGTCTCACTCACTGGATGTTTCTGTAGACATTTATTCTGCTGGTGTCAGACATAAGTCGTGGTTTCTCTTTCACTTCTATGAGTTTCATAACCAACTGAAAAGCACACCTAATGCCAACGTGGGCCTAGGCATGGTGGCACACCCTTCTGTCCCAACACTTGGGAGGCACAGGCAGGCAGATCTCTGTGAATTCAAGGTCAGCCTGGTCTACATAATGAGTTCCAGGACTGTATGGGGAGGGGGGATTGCTTCAAGAAACTTTGTTGCCATCCTTAAATCCTAATTCATTTTACTGATTATAGTTCAAAAAACAAAAAGAAGAATGTGGAGGAACAGAAGTTGATTGATGAAGACTATCAGAACGTACGAATGCAGCAGACCGGCTTCAGCAATTCCGGCTTCAACAATTCCGGCTTCAGCAACTCTCGCTTCAGCAACTCTGGCTTTAGCAACAACTCCGAATTCAGCAACTTCGGAGCTGGCAACAGCATCTTCCCCAAAGTCAAGACCCAAAATCCTTATGCAAACCAGCGAAGCATGCCTCGCCCTGACTACTAGGTGAGTGAAGCCTCTGACTTTGCTGCATGTAATGCTCAGGCAGGGGAAGCTGAAGCAGAGCTGGAGAGGTGGCTCTTGGAGAGGACCTGGGCTCGGTTCCCAGCACCCCCCCACACACACACACAACTCTAGTTCCAGAGGATCCAATGACCTCTTCAATTTCTGCTAGTTCCAAGCAAGCACATGGTACACATACATAAATGCAAGCAAAACACTCATGCACATAAAAAACAAATCTGCTGGGCAGTGGTGGCACATGCCTTTAATCCCAGCACTCAGGAAGCAGAGGCAGGCAAATCTCTGTAAAATTCAGGCTAGCCTGGACTACATGTGTGCTCCAGGCTAACCCAACTGGGGCTACATATCAAGACCCTAGGACATAAAAACAAAACAAATGTGATGAAAAATACCAACAGCAGCAAAACCTAGCGTGCTGGGAGCAGTGCACATACCTGTATCCCAGCATTTGGGAGGCTGAAGCATGAGGACCATGTGTCTGAAGCCAGGTGACTTAGTTACTTCCATTGCCATGATAAGACACCATGGCCAAGACCAGCTATAGAAAAGTTTACTAGAGGCTTGCAGTTTCGGAGGGTGAGTTCATGGCCATCGTGGTGGAGTGTGTTGGCAGGCAGGCACGACACTGGAGGAGCAGGAGAGCTCATATCCTTAGGAGACAGAGAGAGCTGACTGGGAATGGGAATGGGCTTTTGAATGAGCCTGCCTCTAATGACACTGCTCCTCCGCCGGGGCCACACCTCCTAATCCTTCCAAAACAGTTCCACACCCCAGAGGCCAAGTATTCACATGTGTGAGTCTAAGGGGGCCATCCTCATTCAAACCACCACCTCAGACTAGGCTAAATAGATCCTGCCTCAAAACAAACAGAAACACCCCAAAGACATAAGGGAGAAAGCCAGAGAAGACAAGGGTGTTAATTGCCAAATCTCAGTGTTCTCTTGTTGCAGTTTGGAAATCTTTTCTAAGCCTCAGCTCTCTTCTTCTCTCTCCTCCTGTATAGAATGAGAAGAATTTGGAGCCCTCCCTAGCCCAGACCACACGAGCTGTGATTTTGAGTGTTTAGAGGACAAGAGAAGTGGGCAGAGACAAAAACCTGACCTCCAGGGTTCTGTCTACCCCATCTGTCAACCCCTCTGAGTGTGGACCTGTATGAAGAATTCAGCTCCCTGAAGACACCTATAAAATTAAACGCACATAGACACTATGAGACTTGTTAAGTGTTGATTTTCTCCAGTTAGTACAAAATGCTAAGATGGTAATTGGTGTAGGGCTTTTCTTTCCTGGTGGGTCAAAAGCATTTCCAATCTAGAAGGAGCACCCTCATAACCCATCCGTGGGCAGTGCCGCTCCTGAGCTCTGGACTCTGGCCACCTGTGAACAGTCAGTGGCTTGTGATAGGGCCTCACTCCAAGAACACAGGCACGAGACAGAAACATCTCCCAGCTTTCTCAGGAGGACTACAGGAATCCAGGAACCTTCCAAAGAGAATGAGGAGGCTTGGATTAGCTCTGTCCTCCATGGGGACATTCAAGTCTTTCAGATGTTAGTTGGTAGGAGAAGCATGGAGGAAAACCATGAGCGTTAGGTAGTAGAGGGAAGCCAAGGAAGCCATGCTGGAAGGGCGAGTGGGGGAGAAGGGAGCCGGTGGCACCTAGTCCCTTGGTGTCCCTCCTCAGACAGCAAATGGGCACCTCTCAGGGGCTGCCCTCCCCAAGACAGATCCTGGGAAAGCCATAAAAACAGGAGTCCGTGTGAAGTCTGGAGCTGTGTAAAATGGCCCAGGTATCCACTCTATGATTCAGTTTCCATGGGTACTTCACTGGGCCTAGGCCTGCTCCATGATGGAGGCTTAGCAGTGCCCACCAACATCTGTGCGCACACACACACACACACATACACACACACACACGCGCGACGACAAATACACGCAGCAGTCTTTTTAAATGTTTTTAATTGTGTCCTGTGTCTATCTGATGTCTAGTCCTCTCAACTGGTACTTTTATTTGTTAATATTATTTGTTTTTGACTGTTCATTGTGAAAAGCAGTGATGCAATAAAGCATCTTTGGAACACGGTACTTTGGTACTTCTTTCTTGTTTGGGGAGCTTTTGGGGATACACACAGCAGCAAGCCTCATTTTATTTTGTTTCTGTTTTGAGATAGGTCTCATGTATCCCAGGCTGGCTTCAAACATTCTACATAGCAGAAGATAATCTGAAATTTCTGACCTTCCTGCCTCCAGCTCTCTAGTGCTAGGATTACGGGTGTGTACCACCATGCCTGGTTTATGTGGTAAATAGGGATCACACCAGAGCTTCATGCATGCCAGACAACCCCTTAGCAACCAAGCTAGCCTTAGTCCCTAGCATATGTCTTATTTCATTTTTAAGTATTTGTTTTATTTTGAAGTGTGTGTGTGTGTGTGTGTGTGTGTGTGTGTGTGTGTGTGTGTGTGTAGGTAGGTAGGTATAGATAGCCGTGGAGGTCAGAGGCTTTATATCCTCTAGAGTTAGAGTTAAGACAGACGAGAACTGTCTAAGATGCTGAGAACTCAACTCAGATGCTCTGCAAGAGCAGTAGGTACTCTGAACTGCTGAGTCATCTCTCTAGCTCTCCTCCCCTCTCATTTTAAACAGATAATGTGGGATGTCACCCACAAGCTACTGACATTTACTGCCTTCTTTAGGGGTTTTGGATCACCCACAACATTTTAACATGTCATAAATCATGTTGGCTGCTATCTCCCAAACACAACTCCATGACAAGTAGCCAGGTGGGACTCGTGCCACTCCTGGTCCAGGGATTGGCCCAGGCTAATCAGTGAAGTCCCATTCTTCTGCCACTGGAGTGGACTTACGCAGAATACCTATGTAATATATTGAAAATAACCACGTGCTATTTCAGTTTGTTGAAAGTCCATTCTGGGAGCAAAAGAATCTATTATGTCCCGGACTCAGAATGTTTCTTTAAAGTATTTTCCCAAACTCTCTGTCCCGTGACTGGTGAGATGATGTGGCTGATGAAGACCCCTGCTGCCAATCCTGACAATCCGGCTTGGATCCCTGGGACCCACATGGTGAAAAGAGAGAACCAACTCACACAAGTTCTCTAACCTTCGCACTCAGAAGGCAGAGGCAGGTGGGTCTCTGAGTTCAAGGTTAGCCTGGTCTACAGAGAGAGTTCCAAGACAGCCTAGGCTATACAATAAAATTTTGTCTCAAAATAAAACAAAACAGAACAAAAAAAAAAACCAAATAGATATCCTTCTCTGTCCTGAGTCAGGCTGGTCTCCAATTCTGGAACATGGAGACAGGAAAATAGATAATGAAGTTAAAAGATGTTGTGTCCTTGAGAACATCTAGAGGGTAAACCATTTTCCGTAGAGGTTACTCTTGTTTATCCCATGGTGTAAAAATGCCCGTGGAGGAAAGAGAAAGCTGGAAGCCCATCCATGGAAAAGAAGCTCAGTCAGGAACTCCAACTGGCTGCCTCAACCTCTGGTGTGGGAGGTCCTTCTGTCTGTGTTGCTTTTGTTGGTTAATGAATAAAGAAACAACTGACTTGGCCTATAGCAAGGTAGAAGGAAGGCGGAGTCAGGGAAAAGGGATGGAGCTGCCGGAAACAGACACTGGGAACTTTAGCCGGTAAGCCACAGCCACATGCGATACACAGATTAATAGAAGTGGGTTAAATTAATATGTAAGAGTTAGCTGATAAGAAGTTCAAGCTAATGGGCCAAGCAGTGATTTAAATAATATGGTTTTTATGTGATTATTTCGGGGCTAAGTAGTCCGGAACCAACAAGTGCCCGTAATGCAACAAACCTCCCTAATTGACTTCTAGCTGGATGTTGTAAGTCATTGATTTGATGTGTGAACTTAAGTTTCCAGGAGGAGGGGGAGGGAGAGAGAGGCAGAGGGTAACTGTAAAGACAATTTTTTTAAAGACTCACATTGGGAA